CCATCCCCAAAACAGTGACATTATAGTAACAATTCACCTATTGGACTAGGCAGCTCTGCAATTTGTCTTTGAACCTATACGTTTCGTTCTCTGAGCGTCTAGCTTTGAACCCAAACTACAAGCCCAGAGATTTTGCCAGAGAACGCATAGCAATAATGCAAGACCCCTCCTTCCAGATAAATCTCGTGACAGAAACAGAGCACAAACTGGAGCGGACAGACCGCAGCTCCATGCAACCTTTCTTTAAAAACCTAAAAAAAACCAAATCCCCAAAACAACCCCCCCCCCCTAACAATAACAAAAAAAACCCCAAAACAACCCAACTTAAAATACACCAAGCATCAAATAAAACTCCCCTTTACGAAGCATCTCTTCGTCTCTAATCTCACTATGAAAAAAGGGGAAAAAATTAGATTCTTTTTTTTTTCTTTCATGACCTCTTCCCGTCTCCCCCGTCCGTCTGTACCCAGGGCCATAACAAAACAGTTTTTCTACCACTCATTCTCCCCGAGATGACCTACGAAGACTGATCGGACCTAAACAGTTTACGGTTTTCTACTCACGGTTCCCAGCTCCATGAAATCAGAGCTCATTTTTTGTTTGTTCACGGTAGTTGGCACCAACGCTAACACCTCCCATAGTATCCCGGAGTTGACCACAAAGAGCAGAAGTACATATACCTCCCCGAGTTTTTTCCAATAGTACAGCAATTTACTTGACGAGGCTACCGCTCAGTGGATCCAGCGAGAGTACAGACTGTTTTGATACTCACTGGGGGTGCTTTTGTTGATTCACGTCTTGCCCTTCTCTCCCCCCTCCCCCAACACACACGCATAGACACACAACGATACAAGCACAAACACTGGAGCATACACATACGGACACACAATATGCGCTCTCACATACGACACACGCACATGCGCATAATAGACAGGAGCCCGATTGGTCATCAACTCCCTCCCCCCCATCCCCACCTTTATATGAACAAACACACAAAACACAAACACCCCCCTTACCTTTTCCCTCCAGCACCCCTCAACTCCCCCCTCCCCCATTCCTCTTAAAAGGTTTTCATAGACTGAGACGGAGGAATATTTCCTTTATTGTCTTGGATTGAAAAAAAAAAATCAATCCCCCCGCTGTCTTTTATATGGTAACCTGAGTTGAAACCGCAGCCGTTGACACCGTGCTGGGGGCTTGTCTCAACACAAGGCACCCCGCGCATGGACGCGGTAACTACACGTTATCTTTGAGACTATCGTTGTCATAAACTGTAACAATGATAAATGACAATGACATCTATGGATATCTATAGCTTTTTTCATAATTTACATGCACAATGCCCTTTACAAGACTTATTATTGGTAGACTACAGACAATGTCATTAGAATACACGCGGTATTTATGCACACATGCACTCGTGTACACCATGCAGACGTACATTGACATAAAATAATGATCATAGTCATGTGTCGATTAATGTATAAATGCATAGGGGTGTAAGCAGTGGCAGATAAGTATGGAAATAATTTCTGGAAAATCAATCAGATAAAAATACGGTAAACAATTCAAAGATATCATTGATGATGATGATGATGATGATGATGATGATGATGATGATGATGATGATGATAATGATGATGATGATGATGATGATGATGATGATGATGATGATGAATTGCATTTCTATAGCGTATATGCCTATTCGAAATAAAGCTCTATGCTCCTAGCAATATATGACAATGTATTACTTGTACAATGTCTCATTGCCGTCATATAAACAGGGGATCAGATCAGATATATTCATCATGATCGCAAATGTCGTTTTAGGTTTTTGTAACGGTTCGGCCTTTTCCATTTCAGGTTCTGAACTCTTTTATCTAAGGATAAAGACCTATAGGAGATGGACTTTACATTCGGAAGTTCTGCCTCTAAAATGAACTTAAAGTGTTGCAAGAGGCGCATGGACCTAAATAACTGCGATGTGGGTTATCAGTTTCAAGCTTAAAGCTATTGACTGATCATGTCTTTTCTGTCGCGTTATTGGTGGGAGGAGAGAGTATCTAACCACTCAATGAAGAGGATTTACTGAGACTCAGGTTTATATTGTAAATTATTTCCGACCCGTGATAGTTTTCTTGCACAAAATAGGTCACACAAATGTCAAAGAGGTGTTAATAGAATTGAGAGTAACATACGAAGAAAATAGGAGAAAAGCCAAAGACGACAGATATTTGATAGTCTAGTAGTTTATATCTTTAATACTATAAGGCTTAAGAGGATCAAACAAAGGTATATTATCTTCCCGAGGCTTTCAATATCATATCCTTTGTATGTCAGAAGCCTAAGTTTCGCAAGAATCAATATATTGTTATGACTGCCTTTCGCTTTTTATCGCGGTGTTTGGCGAACTTCGGTCTGATATCAAGAGGAAGACCACGAGATTGCACATACAATAAATGTTGTCTTTTTCGAGGACACTATCTCCCGCCTCTCCACATCCCTACACACACACACACACACACACACACACACACACACACACACACACACACACACACACAAACACACACACACACACTCACATACACCTCCTTGACCTACGTTTTAAACTCCAACCCCCAACCCATGCTGGAGGAAGAAGACAGCTGCTCTGGTTTAAATGATTAATGGCAGACAAACAGGAACTGAGCAGCAAAGACAGTGTTTTGGGCGTTGTTTTAATTAATAGACACTCCTTTACTCCTTTGTATGGAAAAGGGAGAACGGTGGGTTGTGTGTGTGTGTGTGTG